TGCATTCTGCAGATGAAAATCAAATTAGTATATGAGTAACAATACAAATTAACGGAATTCAGCACACACAACACGAAGAGCCATGTGGTGTGGTGAATATAGAGTGCAGCATAAGAATTGAGGCAAACGAGCGTAAGTTCTTGAGTAGGAAATTAATCGGGGAATGAGTGAAAATAAGCCGCTTGCAGTTTCATATAAGTCCGCTTTTCCCGACTACAGAAAATGAGTTGTTTATTTGTAGGAAGACTAAAGGTCCTATTTTCAGCGACTTGCCCCTATATCAATACGGTGACTGCAATTCTAACAGATATGGGTTCGAGGCTCACTACAAATGACAATTCAGACATAAATATTTATGCAAACAATATTTGTACTTTTGATTACAGTTGTAAACAACCTATGTCAAATCGCCGCAGTATATATTCTACTCTAATGCATTGAATCATTTAAAACTATATAATATTATATTGATAAAATTGCACCATTATAATAAGTATGACAAAATCACACTTGCACTGAGTTAGTATTACAATTAAAATGATTTTAGCTAATTTAACCTTTTATATTTAACCATTGAAGAAAATATGAAAATTAAATATCCTTAACTATTTGCACTAATGATATAAACTTAATGAATTAAATGTACATAGTAGCAGTCTGATTACATAAGAATGCAGTTTATGAATAAATCTTTAGTTCGTTTGTTGCTAACAATATAAGAACCACAGTAACTAACAGCAACCATATTAAGAAGCTAATTCTACACAGATAACTACGTTATATAAATATATATTTTGGAAAACATGTATTGAGTATTAACTGCTATTGCACATAAAATTATTTTTCTTATCCTCAGCATTAAAAGCGGACGCGAAATGAGAGACATTTGAGAAATAGGTATTTGAGAAAACTATTGCTGTCACGCATTAGCAAATACCGTGTGATAGAGACAACAGTAGTTAACGCTGAAAATTGCGTATGAAAATTGCAAAATTTGAAGTTTAGCTCTCGACGATGTCCTCCTCGAAAATTAGAGATATGCCAAAGAAATTTTACACAAAGAATAATAAGTAGTTATACTATGCCTTTATGTTTTGATTTTTTTGTAAATGCTTATTAAATCTCCATAGTAGACGTCTTTGGTGGTGATTAAAAATTGTTTATTTTTGGTCTTTTTCGAGGGCTTCTAGTTTCTATGAAACACAATTAACGAAAAAAGGTAAATATAGGAGCATAGAATGAGTCAAATTATGTTTTATATATGAAAATAAATTCTTTAGTGATAAAAATCAAGGAGGAATTAGACGAGAACGTTTGTATGGAAAAAATTGCGCACCTCCCCTCTTAATATAGATAATGTTACCATATTCGCACTAAGATAATTTAGAGTAGTAAAAGATTACCTATAAGTCTTTCATACAAAACATATTAGCTCTAATTCTTTTTTATATTTAAAAATGTGTAAAGGCATAAAAGATAATGAGAAAATTTTCATATTGAAAGCATAACACAGTATTTATGTATTTATGTGGACATTCACAAAACGCTTTCGTTACCATATCTCCACTTATTTTAAGGAATGGCTTGTCTTATAATACTGTTACGTACGTAAATTATCCAATAGCATTCAACGAATATGTTGAAATTTATAAGTAATTTATGAGAACGTACAGTGACTCATCTGATTATTTGTAACTCACTGATAGAAGTTTAGTTTTTAATGGGAAACTTACATACGAAATGAGCTTACTTATAGTTGCGAAATAGCATTAATTTTTGACATATGGTCGAAACTCTTTATTTTAACATAAAAATTTGATAATTTCAATGGAACATACGCTTTTATTCAAAATAATACTTCAAATAGGAATTATAATAGTAAGATATTAATAGCTTTTTTTATCACAAAACATAAAATACAATTTCATTAATAATTGTAAAATAACACTTGAAATTTTTAATGGAGATACATATTCTAAAATGGATTTTATACTTGGCCATTACATTAAGGGTCGCCCACGTCCGATAGTCGGTGACTGTTTTTTATAAGAGAAAATATAACGTACTGATTTTAATAGTGCAACGAACACGTCCTACGGTCAGAAACAAAATACAAAATCAAATCCGCCCGATTATCGGTCCTACAAAAAGTCAGACGTGGGCGAGCATACAGGGTTAAATAATTCATTAATTAAAATATAATACCAAAGGATTGCTGCTTAAATTAATAATATCACTGTTAAGTATGGCTTAAAAACACAATCAACCACCGATTTGTTTGTACACTATAGTTTTCAGATGTGGCCGTATGCTCATTATACATTAAGCTGTATTTTACATAATGTTATGGTCATCATAGCGTAAATGAATGTTTTAGAGGAATTATATGCATTTATCATATTTTCACTTATATACGACATAATAATTGCAAATACTTAATTATTCGAGTTACCTCGTAATTCAATAACATAGCAAAAAATAATATAATTCCATTAAATTAAATATCAATCACTCTTATTTGAGAAAAAACGATAAAATCTAGATAATAACATATTTGTTAAATTGAATATTTGCTCTAAATAATTCCGAAGGCGCAAATCTTAAATTGGACAATAGTATACTGAGCGACGGATTAGTATTTGAGCAGATTGCTCCGGACTACGTATACGACAGAATATACTTTATCGTACACTTAATATCGTGTGGATACATGAAGCCGAAGATGCGGCTTACTAAGCAATTGCATGCACTAGTTGAACAGGCGCAAATTAGATGCTCTGTAAGTATTTATTTAGCATTACTGCAATAATTGTTATTTTTATATTCATAACAATAAGACAATTAAAATGTTAGTAGCCATGTTATTATATTCACTAAACATACGAAATAATATTTTTCGCCAAACTGGTTTCATTTCACGCACAAGTTTCTTTCCAAAAATTTGTGTCTTATGGAAAAATGTGTTGTCTGCCCAAAAGCTGCCGAATTTTTCATAACTTTATAATGGTTGCAAAAATTATCTAATGTGTGTCAAATTGTTCATTTTATAAGTTTGTAACTTTCAGATTTTTGTCTAATCGAAATCTTCACGTACTAAATGATCCCGACTTTTAATGTTGATAGTAAAATTATGTCAAATTATTATGGGCTCTTTATATAAATGGACGTGACAAATGACCTCAAAATTACCGATACTTTTGTAAAACATTTTTATACATAGCTGCATTATCATTATTTATCTTATTAAAAAGCAGTCATTAAGATCGATTGTCTAAGATTGATTTTCATTAGATTTGCAATACTTGCAGACTGCACTTATCGGTTACTTTTAAGATAATTTTTTTTCGGAAATTATAATGACCTAAGTATGAATATTTGACTTTCCACACGCATTCGACGCAACCAGTCTGTCTTACCGGTAGCTAATACTATCACTTCCTTTACGATAACAATAGAATGAGATAACACGAGACTTAATAGAGTATTACAAATGATTTGACGTTTCTGTGTACGGATGTTACAGAACGAAACGCAGTCAAGGACCGGGGTCCGTCTACGATGTTGTTATCTGTTTGCGATGGACTTCCATCAAACTTGCAACACTTGCAGGTTATATAGCTGGTTAGGCTATTTTTATGGACAACGTATAAATTATTATTTGGCTTATTACACGATTTGTGTTAGATTCAATTGAAAACAACAATCGTACATACTACAGTTTTCGAGTTACGAATGAAACTCGCCGTTGTTGTGGTGTCCTGAGTCGTAGGTAGCGGCCTAGATAGGTGATGTATTTGGGCTTGAGCGGATCCCACGTGAAGCGTGAGGATATGTATTAATTAGATCTAACTAAACGTAGTCAACTAAACCGATCTGTACACGATTGACTTTCATCAAATTTGCAACACATGCGCTGCTTGCTAGATCTATAGACTATAACGACATAGATGACTTGAAGGATTAGTAGACCTTTTGTCTCAGTGCTGCCACCTGGCGCCTGTCACGCCAGTAAACCCTCATTGTACATACTACAGTTGTTCGTTAGAAATTCGATTCGCCGTTCTTGTGGTAGCCAGAGTCGAAGCTGCCTAGATAGGACCTTGGGCGGGACCCACATGAAGCATTACGATGCGTTTCAATTATATCTAACTTGAAAGAGTCAACTTAACCGATCTGTACGAGTGACTTTCAACAAATTTGCAACACATGTAGACAACACACACTGCTTGGTAGATTATTTTAATTGAATAATAGAATTTCAGTAGTAACTGGGAACTCTGTGAAGTTATAATGGCCTATGTATAAAGTGTCAATATTTGGCTTACCACATGCATTCCATATCACCAATTCGTCTAAGATTCGCAAGAATGAGGGTATTTAGCAAATATTACGCCACCAGTTGGCGCCACTGTGACATGAGGTCTTTTGCATGCAGTATTTGGTGCGAATAAATCGAATGAAGATTTTAATCAATCTATTGAATATGATAACATAGGTGATTTGACTTATGAGTAGACCTTTCGTCTCAGTGCTACCACCTAAGCCGTCATTGTATATACTACAGTTGTTCGTTAGCAATGTGATTCGCTGTTCTCGTGGTGGCCAGAGTTGAAGCTGCCTAAATAGGAGGCTACCTTGGACGGGGGCCAAGTGAAGCGTTACGATTCGTATTAATTATCTAACTTAAAACAGTCAACTAAACCGATCTGTATACGATTGACTTTCATCAAATTTGCAACACATGCAGATAATTACACTGCTTGGTAGATTGAATAATATAATTTCAGTAGTAATTGGGATCTCTGAGAAGTTATAATGGCCTAAGTGTAACGGTCTTATTACAAAAAAAGTTATACACGGTTTCCAACCTTGCTTAGGCAAATTTTGAATGATTTTTCTTTAAACTCGTGTTGAACGTGTGTTTAACTTTTTTGTGGTAATAAGCTAAATATTTGGCTTACCACAAGCATTCAACTTCACCAATCTTTCTAAGATTCGAGTTAGCAATGTGATTCTCCGTTCTCGTGGTGTCCAGAGTCGAAGCTGCCTAGATGGGAGAGTCCTTTCGGGGGGATGGGAGGTGGTGTTTCCGGCTCCCCCACGTGAAGCGGTTCCGACATCAGTGAGATTATCTCCTCGTACCGTAGCGATTCCACTGCCAGTTCTAAATCTAAGAAAAATATAATAATATAACAACGATAAAATAATAACACGAACAAAATCGTGGCCGAAACCTGGCCAAAAGATATGTACATTGGACGACCCACCACGGAACTCCGTAAGATGATCGCGTTGTCAAAAACAGTATAAGGTATTAACTAAAACGTATGCGTGAAAGACTTATGACAGTTGTTAATGCAAGGTCGTAAAATTTTACGACCTATTGCTATATGCGGAAGAACATAGAACTTGTCTCTTTTCCTCGCGCTCCGTGCCTGCTAATTGCTAACGGCGCATTCAGAATAACGATATAGTCATAGAAATGAGTATATTATATAAAGTATATCTATCGCCTATAGCAACTTTCCATTGTTCACACTCACCGGGCCACGTCGGAGCGCAGCACATCGTGTAGCAGCGAATGCTAAAATCCGCTCTCTAGAAGCGTCTTCCTAACACGCCGCAGTCAGAAAATTCTTCGATTGCATTTAACGTAAAATAAATGACATACCTTTATATTAACGACGCATGAGGACGTCGGGATCCGACCCTATACGCAAGGAGCCGAGCGCCTTCGTAAAGTTCAAGCGTAGCGTAGCCAGTAGCTTCACAGCTGCTTGAATTCAACATAATCTAAAATGCGCTGTACCGCGCTCAGACGCGCGCCGGTAATTGAGTTAAACAGCGATATTAAATACTCTAGATACATCACCTGCGCTCAAAATGTGTCCCAATCAAGAAGTATTTGAACACGACTCAAGCACTTCTTGGTTCACAATCACGCGCGGACCGTTGAAAAGTTAAGATGCTTCAGAGCTCCGTGAAAAAATGCAAAATAAACGCTTTTAGTACGTAAAGTGTCCTTTATACGACAGGTAACTAATAAATGTTTGTTAATTTAACTCCTTTGAAGCAAATTTTGTTGTAACAGTTACTATAAACTGATTTAATAGAAAAAAATTGTGATATTCAAATGTATGGTCGGTAATATAGCTGTCTATTTGCCTCGCGATCCGTACCTGCTATATCATTAACAGCGCATTCAGAATTGCGTGTAGAGTCAAATATATAATAATAATAAATAAATATTTCCAACACTCACACCAATTAGCCTAGCCCCAAAGCACAGAATATATACACTACGCGAAAAGAAGCGACACTTAAGCATGTGTGCTCGTAAAATCGCCCGCGGCTATGTGTGGGTGTCTGGAGGTGCGCGGGGGCGTTGCGCGGCGCGCGGGGCGTGGAGAGGGCAGTCGCCGACTGCCGAGACCGAAGGGATGGCAGTAGCGAAATAGTAAAATAATAGCGTTGCACTGCATTGCACGCACAGACTGACTACGCTACGCAATCTTATTATTATTTAGATAATAATAAGAATTATAAAACGAATCGAAAAAGGAGAAAATATATAAAAGATAGCAATTTGTTATAGTACCTACATTAAAAGATTATCACCGCTGTGCCCAAAGTGAGCACTGTAAGGCTTGTGTTATGGGATACTAGGGTAACGGATAGAATACATATACTTTACATATATAAGTATATTTATATAGAAATACATATTAAACATCCATGACTGGAGTACAAATGCTCGTGTTCATGGTATATATGGAGTCGGCGACAAGGTAAGGTCTACATATATTCTTCCGCATAAAGCAATAGGTCTTAAAACTTTACGAGCTCGCATTTTGAACTGACATAACTCTTAGACGCAAGCGTTTTGATTAAGACCTTATAAAGCATGCATTAAAGGTGACATTCGATGTTTAAATAATGCCTTATATTCTTTAGACTACGCGATCAGCTTACGGAGGTTCGTGGATCGTCCAATGTACCTTTTGGACAGGTTTCTGCCATGATTTTGTTCGTGATGTTGTATCTAGGGTATTTGATATCGTTGACATTAAAGCTATAATACTGACCAGCGTGGTGTCGATGATCGTCAGCGTTGGTGTAGGCGTGCGCGTCGACGCTGACGCCCGAGTCTCGCGCGTCGTCCGCCGCGTCTGTAACGCGACCCGCGCGACGAGGCATCGCTGGAGGGGCTTCCATCCAACTACGCTTGTCCCAATACTGACCAGCGTGGTATCGATGATCGTCAGCGTTGGTGTAGGTGTGGCCGTCGACGCTGACGCCGGGGTACTCGCGCGTCGTCCGCCGCGTCTGTAACGCGGCCCGCGCGACGAGGCACCGCTGGAGGGGCTACCACCCAACTACGCTTGTCTCAATACTGACCGGCGTGGTGTCGATGATCGTCAGCATTGGTGTAGGCGTGAGCGTCGACGCTGACGCCCGAGTCTCGCGCGTCGTCCGCCGCGTCTGTAACGCGACCCGCGCGACGAGGCACCGCTGGAGGGGCTTCCATCCAACTGCGCTTATCTCCTACGATACATAAACATATTTCTAACGGCCACAATTAGGTCCACTTGCAGCAATTTTGCTAAATCTCAATTTATCTAATACTAGATTAAGTCCATAAAAGAATGTAAAATAGGGAAGATGCAATATTTTTATTTTTGTTTTCATTTTAAAGAATTCCATGTAGAATAAACCACAGATATATTAAAAAATTAAAACATTGTGATTTATCGGAAAAAATGCGGTTTTAAATTGACAATTTAAATTTTCGCGCGAAAACGAACCTATGGTGGCGATGACGTCACTCCTGTCAGTAACTGGTCGTAATTGTTCGTTGCTGGCTTTAAAATTTCATACTTTTGCATATTTTTTCGACTTTCGAAATATTTTTTTGAAAAATTTAAAATCATCATACTATCCATCAACATCATGTGATCATAACAATACCACTAATATTCCGAAAAAAAAAGCCGTGTTGACTCATGTTTTGTGCCAATCTACTTCAACAAAGTTCCCAAATAAATTGTTTTTGACTGGAACTTCTGACCCAAAACTGAAAAAAAGTGGTTTCAAGCTGCGAAGAGAAATCACAATTATTCTCCAAAGACCATTATTCGATGCTGAGAAGATCACTTTGACGTATGTCGGCGAATATACTTGTTATATGCTTAATTAATCTGCTTGTACGTAAAAACGCATTAGTAATCTACCTAATACTTACAAAACCTGTCTATAACATATTTTTAATTTTACAGTTGGAGAATGACGTCGAAAATTAGATAAAGTTTAAAATGTGTAGCACAAGCTTCACATTGGCAGGACTGAACCAAGCTTTGCGTTTCATTTAAAATAACTGTAACACGATAACCTTCTTTACGTACTTTATGCTCCAGAGAACTCGACCTTTTACTGTACATAATTTTCCATCTCTTTTAATTTGGACATAGCCGATTGCATTATCGCCGTAAGATTTCTAGAAGCCGCTGAATAAAATACGGAGTTTAACAACTACGATTTTTACATACCGTAGTAATTTAGTCCCTTTCATTTCTACACTTAAAAACTCTGCACTTTGGACAAAAAAAGTTATAACCATGTCAACGCTAACTCTTGGTAAATTCCTGGAGTCTGCTTTGATAAACGCAACTTCCATTTTTATTAAATGTAAAAAAACGCAATAAATATTCCCATAAAATAATATTAACTTTAACAACCATAACCTCAAAGAAGTTGTCATAACAGGAGTGACGTCACTAAACGCTGATTGGTGTTTTAATATACGTTCCGCCTCAAGTATTTTTAATTCGTAATAATTGTTAAAAAACCACATTATGTAAAATAAAAACGTTGCAGTGGCATTTATTTTACATTTTTTTAACATTTTAATTATAAAATTTTCATAAATATTATATATGCATCTTCCCTATTAACATTGTCGTTTTGTTATTTTTCTATGGGTTAAAGCTAGTTTAAACTGTCAATAAGGCGTCGGAACTAGAACTTTGACAAATAGTTTTTTGTCTCAAAAAACCTTAAAAACTATTATACTCTTTAGGTATATAAAAAATATAATAGTTTTAAATAATTTTAAGTCAAAGAATTATTTGTCGAAGTCTAGTTTCGATCCCTTATTGAGCTGTTGAGATACGAAACCGACATACGAAAGGGCTGAGGCCATCATAAAGTTTAATTTGAAATTATCTTGGAAATATTTGAGTGTCTACTATTTGCGCAAAAAATTTAAAATTCTGTTCTTCCTTTCACTTCGAGTTTAATATGGGCTGGAAGCTGAAGATTCTTACGAGATTTCATCAAATGGGGAAGAAAACGCAAAGCTGATGGTGCTGTGGCCGGTTGGCCTATAACAAGTAACTTATCACTTTAAGGCTGCATTCTAAACCTACGTTCTGAGTGCAACTTTTTACCATGACGTTTCTATTTTGACATAAAATGTATGAAACTTAAGTCAAATTTGACATTTGTTGTACATGGATTGTAGATTTGGAACGCAGCCCTAAGCCCTAGTCTATCGAAATATGTCGGTTTTCTTTGTCTGTCACAGCTGTCCCGATTCATTATTATGGGTCAATACCGAACAACCAAGCCAAATACCTTGAGTCTGGCGAAGTCGACAAAAGTGCACCGATATTATGCAAAAAGAAGAAGAAGATACCTGCGCCTCTGGCAGGATATATTGGCGGTTTTCTTTTGATTCAATTACATTGGAATCCCTCACCTGAAACCCTCGGTGGAAGTGGCGGCGCATCTCCAGGCTCGCTCCAAGAAGCTCGACTATGTCTACGAGTTTCCACTTCACCATCCATTGAATCACTATTAATAAAATGTACACATAATGAGCATCGGTTTATTGTTCTTAGTTAAGTGTAATAGCCTGCGCAGACTAGGGGCCATTTTCCGCGACTTTTTGACCTTGAAACCAGGCGTGCCATCTACTCAACCACGAGCGTCGTCTTTTAAGTCTTATTTTTTCTTAATCTTCATGTTAATTACAAAACAACGTAATTTGAGAATATTTACTTCCATAGCATGTACTTTTCTAATTTTTCGGAGGACTAAATACACACACATCTTGTGCGTTGAGTCCGTGACATATTATGACGTTTATAACGCTCAATAAAAGTCTTTCGAAGGTAGCTCGACAAATTAAATAAAAGTTTGATTCTGCCGACGAAGCCTGTAAAGGCTACGAAACGTCAATAAATAAATAAAGCTTCGTGCATTAACCCGTAAAAACTAGTTTTATTTATGACGTTATATGAAATCTCATTATTGCACTGTTTTTCATTAATTCTTTTCGGACGGTATGGCGAATGGGGGCTTCCACACCGGGACCATTCCGCACCGGGCCCAGTGCGTATTAGTAGGTATTTCAATATTTTTTTGTTTAGTTTGAGTTTTTATTTTGATTAGGTATATTATATCACGGTACATAGATTGCTAGTTGAAATAAAAGCTGACCTTGCTAAATCTCCTCACATGCTCGGGCACCAATATTAGCACTCATGCATTAATAATTCACTTTGCGCTCGATGCAACAATCTACTATTACTAACCGGTAGTTGTCTAAAGGCGGTCTCGTAGGACTGCGCGGGTCCCCAGACTTCGGTCTAGTCGGTAGAGGCGGCGCAGACTTCACCATCGAAGCATCTTCGAGGCATTCGCGATTGTCACCCACGGGGAGACTGTTAGACATCAAACTCGGCTCCGAATCCTCCATAGTGTACTAAATAATTTGATAAGATTAATGAATTCATACGATTACAGTGAAATTTGTGTGTGTGACCTTAAGTCAACTGTCATTCAGGAGACAAATAAACGCTTGGAATGAATAATATTTGAATAGATTTTGTGCGCAATATCATACTTACGATAGGTTTGTTATAAAGATGAGCATCATCATAATAGCTCTCGTTCTGTTGTATACTTTGAGATCGTTTGTCCAATGATGGTACGGGAGGCAAGGGTGTACTGTTAATAACAAAAAATAATAAAATTCATTATAAAGAAGCATGAGTAAAAATTTGTAATTTATGCGACTGTTATAAAGGATTAGGGGGTATTAAAACACGAGTCTGCTTCGCCTCATGCGATAATAAGTTGACTCGAGTGGTTTAATACCAGAATTATATGCAGTTGCATACACTACTTTCTCTTCACTCATAGGAACAATAGAAATTAAACATAAAGTAGCTAAGTAACAAAGAAGTATTTTGCAATTTATTTTTTAGTAATTCCGAAAAAACCTCGATCGGCAGAAAATTGTATGGGAAGCGCGGGAAATTAAATTAAAACTACGAATGCGTGTGCCTCTATATTCACATTCAGCCTTATATTATGACCTAATAGATTGAATAAAAAAATATGTGTCCTATGATGATTAATAGTTATTTATGATATTAGTTCGTTGAGTTGGTTATTACTCGTACAAACGAGTAGACGAATGTAAGCCCGAGACGAAGTCGACGGCTTACCATAGTTACGAGTTTGTAATACCAATCCGCACGAATGTCATACACATTTGCGAGAAAACATTATACATAATTTCAGTAATGAAGCAAATTTTTTCTAATAACAAAATGGCGCGAATTTCCAAATAGCGCCACTTGCGGGTGGTGAAAATTAGAATCGTCTCTTTTTCTTCTTAGTATTAAAATGAGGCATAGGTATAGACTGAAAGTGCTTCCGAGGAGGTTCGATCAAAATTTAAAACCGTAAAGAATACGCACGTTGCCATGTATGGGACCGTGCGTAATTAATTTTGCAGCACGCTTCGCTTTATGGCCCGTAATTTTGAAATTTCGAACAATATAATACAACCTTTGTAAATGCATTTTTTGACCTAATGTGTTGAAAGAGTTATTTAACGATACAGCTATCAGTACTCTAATGAGTTTTTTATGGTTGTGCGTATATAAAATACGTCTTTACAAAACCATCTTTATATTTGTTTGTCGTCATCTTTATGTTCGCATATTTCGACATGAGTGTAGATAAATATATTAACGTTTGCATTTACACACATACCTCTTAAAGTCGTAGGGTCAGTATATTAGTGAAAAACATGCTCAAATAGTGACTATCTTTATAAATCACAAGAGTCATGCATGGCTTTAGTAGTGTTTCTTAAGCATTTATTATGGTTTTCACGTCTAACCGTATTTCAATTTCTTTATGTCTCTTTAAACTATTTATGTAAATTAATAATAGTAGCGTACTTACTTGACAATACTTTCCGAAAGCTGGCGTCTTGCTCTTGCTAATCCTGGTCCCAAGTTTAGTCTAATCTGATTGAACCGCTCGACCAATCGCCTGGGATTAATAAGTACATTAGTATTTCTTATATCTACTGCCCAAGAACTTCCGTGACAACAAAAGAGCCTTTAATAACGTTAACTTTGGGAAATTAATAAACACTTTTGAAGTTTTTATTCTAATTGACACTGTCACCCTAGCAGTTGGTTATATGGAAAAAAAATTGGATAAGTAAGGTCAAGTTGTTGTCTATACATACGATGCCCAGTGTCAATAAACAAACTAACCAAAGACTATTTCTAAATAATTATATCAGTTGCAGGTCTAGCATTAGTTAAACTATAATTTTAAAAATCCTTTCGCTAAATAGCAATGAATTGATTCAATTTTTAACTATGGCAATCCCTATTTCCTAAATTTCCAAGAATTCTGATTAAAAAATGTACTCACCTATGCAAAGGTTTGACATCATCAGGCGCCAATCGTCCGTGCAATGTAAGCCCAGCATCGACTACAGCCAATTGTCCAGCCACTAATCTCCTTAGTTTTGCGGCCGCCGCCGCCTCTCTAGGCGTCGCGTTTCTAGCGAAATCGGCGCTTAAGAACGCTTGCTCGTACTTAGTGATGCCGCCTTGTACGTTCGCGTCTATGGTGCCTTGTAGCCGCATAGAGAAAGGGTTGATGTTCCGCGTGGGGTCGGCGGTGTACTGAGATATGAGGCTGCGTAACTCGCGTTCTGTCGCCTCCATAGTTTCGCATGCGAACTGGAAAGAAGAATCATCATCATCATCATCAGCCTATTAATATCCCCACTGCTGGGGCACAGGCCTTCCCTATGGATAGAAAAGGGAGATTGGGCCATGGCCCACCACGCGGGCGCGGTGCGGATTGGCGGGTGCTAACGACTGCAGATGCAGCCGGGAACGGCTTAACGTGCCTTCCAAAGCACGGAGGAACTCGAGACATATTCTTTAAAAATAGGCAACAAGATCATCCGGACAGATGATGCTGTTGCAGACACTTTTGAAAATTTCTTTTCTAGTGCACCATTTGAAACAACTAGAAATATTAATTCTTGTTCTAGGTTAGCAATGACCCTCCTTGAGTCAAGTGTTGATAAGTGCAATAATGATTTTCATTTTAGACATAAAAATTTATATTACAATATATTGGGGAATATCAACATATATTTTCCCTTTATGTGGCCATTAAACTCTAACTCTGTACCAAATTTCAGCTCTCTGAGTTTATGGGAAGTACTAGTTCTATTCTGATGATCATGAGTGAGTGAGTGTCGTAAATGCGAAACTTTGCTTTCGCTTAACTTCGGAACTAAATGACCTACAGACTTGAAATTTTGGATTTTAAGTACGTTATTATAGCTTACTGGATGACGAAAATTTCAGCGTTCTGGTCTTATCCAGAGGTACTCAAATAGGGGCCTGAAAATGCGGCGAAATGGTTCCCGTATAGGATGGTACGACAATGTTTGCTTCGCGCTCGACTTGGCACTCGTTAAATTATATTATATACACAGGCACTGCACTATAAAATTTATTGTAACTATATATTTATATTCTAAATGGTGTAATGGAAGGTGACTTCAGATGTATCTCTGAAGTCATTTTTCAACTTGACGACTCTATATAACAATACAGGGAGAAAAAACAGCCCTTGCTGAGTTTCTTGCCGGTTCTTCTGAGTACAAGGTCTCCCGCCGTAGTTTTGTGAACCGATGGCGTAGCTTCTTGACCTTCACAAGTGCTTGAAAGAGCCTAGACTGAATAAATAACTTTTCATTTCATTATGTCAGTAACACAGAGCACAACTGACCGCTTTTATGGGCACCCGCTTTTGTCAACCTTATGTAGTAATAACTACATAAGTGGGTGACCAAATTTTTCATCAAACCATGATGAAACTTAAGTGTCCAATTAAAACGACAAATTTGGCAATTTCGATTTCAAACAAAAATTAAGCAACGCGGGCTCTGATGGGTGTATTCTGAGATCATTATATTTAGGGCAGTATAAGATAAAGTCGTTTTCTAAATCTGTCTGTCACCCGCCTTGTACGTTCATGTCTATAGTGCCTTGTAGCCACATAGAAAACGGGTTGATGTTTCGACTGGGGTCGGCGATGTACTGACATATGATGCTGCGTAACTAACATTCTGTCGCCTCCATACTTTCGCAAGTAAACTACAAATAATATATGTCAGTAAAATAGAACGTCTCCAATAGATAGCGCTTATAAAGCTAATTCCAAGTTAATGTAATAATACTACATAAGCGTGTGAGACCCAAATGTCGGCGAATAACGAAACAAGTTTGCACCTAATTTGTCGTCCGACCTTGATGTAACACTGGTGTCCAATAAAAACGCGGCTTACCCTCCCTGCACGATTCCAACTTTACCAATTTCCATTTCCAACAAATATTTAGCATTGCTAACTAGTAGCGAAGCTCAGTGATCAGTAATAGTAGAAGATCCGAACCTACATCGACCTTCACCGAGCTGATAATAAAATTAAACATATTTTTTCATGAATTTAGTGTATTAGAAAATATATTAAGAATGGGTTGTCTAAAAAAACCATGGACAAACTATATTTTTTAATTAATTAAAAAAAATTTTTTAAGTGAATTACTTAATTAAAAAAAATCAATATATCAGCTCGGTGAATGTCGATGTAGGCTCAAATCTTATACTATAAGTAATATAAAATGTAGCCCTTATCAATACGTCTCTATATTGGCTTCCTACTTCTAAGTGTCAGCCTTGTACGTTCGCGTCTATGGTGCCTTGTAGCCGCATAGAGAACGGATTGATGACACGAAAGGGGTCGACGGTAAAGTTGTTTTTCTGTATTAATCCGATAGGAAATCTAAGAGGAATTATGAGGAAATAGTTGTGATGCTGCTTGAATTAATATCAACATGATGTTTATTATAGTGCAATTCTTTCTTGATGCTTCACCAATCCCGTAAGGGATAAGAAACAGAATTATGCATGTACTTACCTCAACTGGTGGGATTTCTTCTACCGATCTGGAAACTACTTCTGACCATCGCAAGATGCCTGGCAATGTGTTCTCCGTAACTAAGGTCGTACGCTCTATCCAAAGGCTCTGGAAATATAAATAAAAACTATATTTTTTGTCTAACATAAAGATGTCTATTTAAAGCATTGAACTGGTAGATTTTACTTATGATTTTAACGAAAGATAGAAGATTGGGCCCGGCCATAAATCTTTGTGCCGGCACTTCATTTGATAATTCGACTTGACATAAATCTAACCTTTTCATTGCTTAAAAAGCAAGATAAAGACAGACTGTTGTCAAGTTAACAAAAATCAATGCGAATAGCCAAAAGAAGAGCGATAAAGCAAGATGAATTTTGTCATCACACACACATACACCGCTAAGTAGTATTTGTGGTCACAATACAAATGTATGTAATAAACTCCACAATATGTAACATACTTTATAATTGACCATAAGTAACTTTACAGGGAAATTACATTAAAATTTTAACGGTTAAAACTTAAATCAACGTCAGCGAGGTAAAATATCAATGACTTGCGGCCCGTCCCAGCTTCACATGATATATGCATACCCAGCATAAATAATCACTTGTATTATAATAGTGTGTACAGTACTAGCATAAAGATCTTCAACCATTTACCTACAGAAATTAAAGCACTCAATTTGCCACTGTTTAAATTTAAGTTAAAAAGCTGGTTACTAGATAATGTCTTCTACAGTCTTGATGAACATTAACACTTGCAAAACTTTATATAATTTAAGCTCCCAAAATTTTTTTTAACTGCAGATAGGTTTAATTTATAAATTGTAACATTGCATGACCGTTGTGGGCACACTGTTGTGACTTTGTTGATCTTTGCAATTCAAACTGCAAAATTGTACAGTTTGGGTGCCCAAAAAAGGGGAGCGCTCAGACCCGGCCAACTATTGGCCGATAGCTATCACCTCAGTATCGTGTAAAATCTTAGAAAGGGTCCTTAACAACCATCTGACCCGCTACCTAGAAGATTACTCTCTGATTCACGATCGCCAATATGGATTTAGGCCGAATTGATTGACGGGTGACCTTCTAGCGTACGTGACACACATCTGGGTTGAAGATATAGACAAGCGGGGAGAGTCTCTGGCTGTCAGCCTTGACATCGCTAAGACAGGGTCTGGCACAAAAGTCTTCTCTCCTAGCTTCCTTTCTTTCCTCACTTTTAATCATTTAGTAATTAATATACCTTGAACTCGTTATCCTTATCGATGGGCGGTTTATGAAGTGGCCGGTCGCATAAAAACGTATCTACGTCGTTACAAGCGTAGAATCTTTTCACTGCTTCTGGAGCACCCGAAGGAAACGTTCTTCGACGGGCTACGGGCTTAACGTTGCAAATTTGGATATCTGCACCAATCATATTCATTTGTTTAGAGGAAACCACCTTTCTACTCTCACATCTTACACATAAAGAATTTTAAGTCATAAATGTTGTCTCATGCTTTTTAATTGGAAAAGACAATTTAATTTTAACAGAAAAGGGACGCATCAATCTAATTAACCTCTTCAGTAGAAGAGCTTAATAAGGAGAAACCAGTAGATTTATCTTTTTTACTCTAAAAATTTAAGTCATGAAATTGTTTACATTTCTGATAAAAAGTTATCAATAATCTACAGCAGCAATGATATGGCTGATAATAGAAATAAAATGTTTAATCATGTTTGAAAGCGTAAAAACATATAGAAATTAATTTAAAAAAAAATAACGGAAGGTTTATATTATAATACAAGCCTGAGAATAAAACTATAGTCCACAGCAGCATAGTGAAGAAAGAAGTTGCCACAGGAGACAAATAACACAACAAAAACATCGAATACTGTAGGTGCCTGCGACTTCGTCTGCGTGGAAATAATTATTTATCATACAAACTTCCACCCGTTCTTTCACCCATTTATCGGCTGACTGATAGGATAAACTAATCACATATCTTTCTCCGGGACTAAACTAAATAAATTAATTTACCGGTTTAAGCATGAAAAGGTAAAAAAGGTAACAGATAGACACACTTTCGCATTTATAATATTAGTATGGAAGTATGGACATTTGAAGATCAGAATGTACTTACATTGCCCATCTGCCGCTATGATAGAATCGTCAGGCGGCGTGTTCCTCATGAGAATGTGCGCAGAAACATATTCCGATTGTAATCGCTGTGTGAACGCGCCGATACGTTCGTAGTCGTGCCCTCTGTATACGAACAACTTATTCTGGAAGCGAATACAACAGTTTGTTACTGTTTTAACATCTGCCTATTTTTTTATGCCAACATTGGCCATTCGTATTTGCTATTTGTAAGCTTGACAACAGTATGTCCTTATCACGTTTTATAATCCTTATCACGTTTTTCTTTTTTTGTCATTTGGTTATGTTTTCTCCAATCTTAATTTAATTTTATTATTTATGTTAGTAAATTAAATGATCTTTATACAATTTTTAAAATTAAATGTAATAAGTACTGATAAATGTGAATAGTAACGCCATTAGTATCTAATGTGTACATAATGAGTTTCTGTGATTGGCCTAAAGATTTTATTTATATTTTATTGTATTCAATCCACAAAAATCCACTGTAGAAACTTTGTTAAAGATAAATAAATAAATAAGGAGTGAAAAGGACCGACTGATGTTAAGTTTACAAATAGCAAACACAAATAGTCAAGTGCTAAGCCTGGGCAAGTTTTTAAAAGTAAAAACATTGGTGCACTCCTGATGCTATCACTGAAACCATTTCCTATCCTGACTGTATCTACCCCGTGGAGGCCGATTCACTGATCGACTAAAACTTTAGCACCAGCCTGCAAATTAACATGTTTTGTTTTACCACAACAAATTTAAAAGTTCCTTTGCATTTAACTCCTACATAAACAGACTCGCAAGAATTCAAGCAGCAGCCAACATCCCTTTACATATTCAGTATATTAATTTGCCCACAGCTGGGGCACAGGCCTTAAGGTTTGAATAGGGAGACTGGGCCATGATCCATGGTCCGCGACCAACGGCTTAACGTGCCTTTCAAAGCACGGAGGTGCTTGAGATAATAAGTTTTTAGTCACCCATCCAATGACTGGCCATAGCGAAAGTTGCTTAACTTCTGCGATCGCAAGCCAAAAGCGGTAGACGCCTGCGCCATCGAGCTCCTTTCAACTAAGAATTTCTCCTCAAACTTTTATAAACTTAGTAGCGGCCACCCACGACTTGAAAATCACTCAGGAACCTGTCATTTATCCGGGGTATAAAGTATTCAATCTCAATGTGTCCTATGTCCCAATCCAGGTCATAAACTATATGTGCCCCAAATTTCATCCCAACCCGTTCAGTAGTGTTTGCGTGATTGAGTAACAAACATACAAACTTTCACATTTATAATATTAGTCAGGATATGCATATTTCTTACTTAAACAAAGCAAGCTTACCCTTACAAACAGTGGACATCCTTTCCCGTAGAAGCCGACCCTAAAGTACTCGGGCTCCGGTCGCAATTGCTCAAGCACTGAGTCTAAGAAGGTGGCATGAGTCCGTAAGCAGTGAGCTAAGCGAGCATAGTCGCACAACTTCACTTCGTACAGAGTGGCCAATTCACGGAGAAGAGGAAGACCTTTTTCCCAGCACTATAAAATGTAAGAAATAAGAAAAATATTCTTAAGTAATTATTAATATTCTAATATAGAAAAGTGTTGAATTTTGTTTATCGTAAAAGTTAGAACTACACTCGACTGCAAATAAACTGGGCCACTTGCTACCACGGAACTCTGATTTGAATTTCTCAAAACGTATAAAACTTACAACTATCTAAATTATAACTACAGAAAGTGCGTTTCGTGGTGATTAAAATGAACTAGAATTTATTGAGATTAATCAATTAATAATTTTTTATTGAAATAAGCCAAGGAAGAATCGTTTTCCAATAGGCTAGTTGACTCATATCGAATTGTATTAAATAAATGTTTATTTCTTACAGTATTTGGTCTAAGGAACCTAAATATATCGATTTCACTTCATAAAAGCAGAAGATTGCTGTAGAAATTTAATTTTAAAAAATAATTTTTAGTCTATTTAAACACTAAAAACGCTGTTCGCCACATCCGCCATGATTGTGCCGTCTCTTTCAGTAAACAACTAAATGTCATTCGCGTGTTATTGTGCGTGGATTCTTTAGTCTGAATAAATTTATCATAAAACACTTTTAACTTTAGAAAAGTTTCCGTTTACTTTTTTTTTGACAAAACTAATTATGGATGCCGGCTTTGTGAAAGCAGAAAGCACAAATCTGCCAAGAATTGACGCATTGATAGTTGGTGAATTTTTTGCACTAAACCCCGATTTCTGCTCTGCGGAGAAACGACAAGGCATCTATGTAAGTACAGTGCATTTAGTATTACAATGTAGTAATAAACATAAAACTGATACAACATATGAATAAGTGTAATAAAGTTGCGTAGGTTAATTTCTTTCGGCACTTTAATCCATAACATTCCTGGAGTCTTCAAGGATGTGTTTTTATATTCTCGTACAATACAATAATGATAATTACTTTATTTTTCGTGGTATTTATTAGAAATTGTGTTCTTTTTATTATAAACTTAAATAAATTATTTTCTACGTGCTTACGAGTTTTTGTTTACTATAATTGACATCATAGCATAGACAATCTATAGACTAAAATGGCCGACAGCGTTTTTGTATGTCCATGAAAATTCTATTTTAAAATTAAAGATTTATAGCTTTCTAGGTCTCAAAAAAATACAATACATTTTTTTCGGTCTAATAGAACATTTATTCACCATTTAAAACCTTTTTCCAAAAAGGGTCAACTAGCCTATTGTGGTATTCGGAAGTAACGAAAGAAAGAAAAAATACTCACGTCTGAGATAACTATGGAGATAAACTAAGAAAATGATTAGAAGTATCAGACTATCTTCATTTTATAAAAAAGAACAATAATCGCGACTTTATTAAAAAATTAGCAAATTGTTAACATTGCTGTTCTTGCTCGATTACAAAGTAAGTTGACTACTGTCAAATTACTATTTAGAATAAATTTTTACTCATATTAATAATTATGAAACACACTTTCTGTAAATATAGCTTTACAGTTGTAAGTTTTATACTTTTTGAAAAAATCGGATTAGAGTTCCGAGGTACTAGCCGGTTGGCCCAGTTTATTTGCAGTCGGTTGTATATTCCACTAAAGCTAACTTTATTAACTTTGAATATAAAAGTAACTATATCGTTTCTGTCAGTGTCTAACTTCTATTACATGTTGGCAATAAAATTATCAGTTCTTTTTTTACTTCATTGCCTTTAAGTTTGTTTTCGATAATAGGGAATTAATTTTTTATAGATGGTAATACAATTGATTGTTTTAAAATTAGCGGTAAGAAATAAATGGTCCTTCGAATCAGGTTTTGATAAATAAAAGTAAAAAACATCACCTTTCCGCGATCGAAATATTGCAGCACTTGGTTATATAAAGCTTCTTTGCGTTTCCATTCAGGAGTCTCAGGGTGTTCGGAGTCAACGCCAATCTGATCACTGTCCCAACTCAACGTTTCTGCATACAACTATAGGTAATTATTAAGGTTAATGTTTAGATAAACAAAATATCATCTTACTACAGACATTGCAAAGTTCCGTAACTTACCAGTAGCGTGCATCCAGCTTCAATGAAATTATCAGACGCAATATGAAGATCATGAAGTTTATATACGTAACGAAGATACATCTCCTTACGGTCGATTTCATTTTTGTAGAAATTCTGAAAGTATATAAAATTAAACAGCCGTAAACAGCAAGTTTTTTTTATGTAATAAGCACACAAATACATCAAAAATATGATTTTATTAGAACATTTGTGAATGTATGAATGCAAATATTATGCGATTACTGATTCAGGACTAAGAAAATTAGGTTTATTATTTTCCTTCTAGCAAGACTCAAGATCTTATCCAGATTACAACTAACGTATAGAATGTCTACAATTGCGCTTTTCGTTTCAATGATTCTTGTAAATCGCGGCTGATTTTGTTCAGCCAATCGCAGAGAAAAATGCAGGGTCAAACTGGAGGCAAATTTTTTTTTGAAGTGAAAACTTCTTTAGCGGCGTTGTACACTTTTATTGTATAGTTAAAAAATGTTAAACTCGCGTGTGTGTGTGAGTGGGTGGTGATGCTATGTTTTTTTCTTACTTTTACCTATTGTAACAAGGCCTCCGTTTCCTCATAATTCAAAGAAGTTATGTGTTTTATTATATATTTTTTACATTCGTGTGAGGTTTTAGTATATATATCTACGATTTTATTTATTTTATAATATAGATATTCCGAGCGAAAGTTATATTGCATGATTCCAAACGCAGTTTTTGTTCGTGGAAGTCTAACAGAGCTTTATGCAATATTTTATTTTAATAATAAGTCTATCTAGGACATTCAGGTGGCAGCTTTATTGAGAAGAAAATGCATTTTTTACAATAGATGTCGCTAGGTGCGCTTAAATGTGATTGTAAGTTGATTTTTCTGAGAGATAAACTTTTTAATGTAATATAAATTGTCATGTAGTAGTAGCGCAATAAATAAATATTGTATTCTACCACATAAATGATAGTACTTTTATACTGATCATGTAACCCGTCGTTTTTTTTTTTTGTATAAAATGCACAACGAATTAGAAGTAATATGGAATACGAAATGCGCAAAAAAGTGGTTCCACGCAAACTGCGATAGCAAGTGGGCGGGGCAAAAAAAATGCGATAAACACGCCGATCATGGGATTGGCTAAAGTATTATTTCCGTTTAACATTATCTTACTTATGAATTCATTTGCAGATATTTGATTTGTCAAAGTATTTTGTTGTATCTGTGTGCGTGTTTCTTTAGCATTGAAGTTTAGTTGCATGAGTTTGGAGCCATGTTTTAGCGGCCTCTGTTAGATAGTAATGCTTCCATATCATTTAAAATTTCTTGGAAATGCCCTAAAAATCGCTAATTCCTTCAACCGATATGCAAATAGACTCACGAGCAAATTAACAGTGGCCGCCATTCGCTTGTCCCTGTGTTCCGCTCCTTGCATAACGGCTCGGTAATCTAGAAGTCTCTCTAACAGTCTTGTGACACAACCCACGAACGCTGCCCCGGCTTCCCGCCAACCCTCAGTTGAGACTCGCTCCATAAGGCTAGAGAAATAGAAAAGTAAAATTTTGACACTAATTTATTTATAAGGAAACTAGCTCCCAGCGAACTTCGTACCGCCATAAAAAATAGGGGTTGGTGGTATAAGGGTGAAAACTCAGGGTTGTATGTATTTTTGTATGATGTATCATAAAAAAATGTCCAAAAAAAATTAAGACCAGCCTTAACATTTAGGGGGATGAAAAATAGATGTTGTCCGATCCTCAGACCTACTGAATATGCATATAAAATTTCATGAAAATCGGTTGAGCCGTTTCGGAGTAGTTCAATTACGCACACCGTGACACGAGAATTTTATATATTAGATATAATCGCAAGGTGGACTCAAGTTATCTTCTCTTTATCAAAAAAAAAGGACAGTATAATTTTTAGATGGGGTTCACCTTCAGTCATCGTTTTGTAATAAGAGGGAATGTGTTTCAGTCATGTCTACTAGAAATCAAAAAGGTTTTTCCTGAAACATATGACTGGATGGTTTTGCGTGGATCGATTTTGCGATTTTGTTGAGTACAACTTATCTTTAAAATAATTATTATTAAAGAATATGTAATTGCTAATTATTTAGTAACTTAATGATGTTACTATCCAAGTATTCAATAGAAATAAAAAATACGCGTATTTTTTGCATTATGAAAATTGTAAATACTTACACAGAACTCAAGTGCTCCCTGAACAAATGTTGCGTGCAATGAAAAAATATTTTTATGGACTTATCGATGACCTCAAGTTTAAATTAAAAAATTAACACATAGATTTCTTTAAGATATGTGACATGATGGCAAAGCCACATAGTTTCTATAACAACAGCTCAACGACATTATATTTGTCTTTGTTCGGGCATAAGGTGTTGGAAACATATGCGTTTAATTGGAAAAATTACTCTGTTCCTTAACAGATTTTTAACTATCTGCACCGGTAAGTTGTTATCGGCCACATTCCATCGCGACAGAAAGATATTCAATGCACCAGCGCATCGCCAAACATAAGTAGTCAATGCCCACCCTAGATATTTCTCCACCCACCCTAGCTTTAATACAGTTTGAAAATAAATTTCAGAATGAATGTAAGTAAAACTGGACAGCTGCCCTAGCGCGAAAGTCCTTAGCTACGTCCATGATTTTACATACTTTTAAAATTTGAATGTATGGGGTATTAACATATCTGTTAGTTCTTTGACACACCTACACAACACTTTTAAAAGCTTACATTAGTTTCTAGTAGTTTCGATATACTCACACAGTGTCGAACAGCCTTCTATAATGGTCGTCGGCCTTGTTATTTGCGACTAAAGAATCAAGTTTGTCAACTAAAGCCGCTTCAGTTCTTCTCGCAGATCCCGTTGCGGCCCTTTCGGCCGCCATTAGAGCCACTAGGGCTCCTAACGCAGCTCTACGAAGCTCCCCGACTAGAGTAATTTCTAGTAATGCTCCTACTGCGCCTGGCACTAGATGAAGTTGGGCTGGACCTGGTAATATAGATAATGTTGACGTCTAAGATCGGTATTATAAGATTTATTCTAGAAAGTGATAAGGCACAATCGGTTTTCGGGGTTCGAAACAAGGAGGCAACCTCTTCCGTTTAGAGGGCACATAACATTATTCTGTAGTATTATATTCCAACAGTGAGTAAGGTAGGTAAACTATATCCAAAGTATAGTGGAATGCGGAGGTGAGTTTTTTTTATGTTTAAAGGGTTTGCCAGCCGGACATGCTTATGGCCCGCCTGATGGTAAGCGGCCAGCATAGCCTATAGACGCTTGCGATACAAAAAATATAACTCACGTTGTTGAGTCCTGGAACCTTATTCACCGACAGAAACACAACACCAAAAGGTACTGTTATTTAACTGTGGTCTTCTGTAATGTGGAGATTACTACCCCTGAAGAGCGCTCCATTTCGAAAGAGAAATCCGCTATGCCCTACCTCTCTTATAACGTATAATTAACGTAATGTGGCTCAGTTAACTTTAGAACTGGACTGCACTCACTTAATAGGCTGATGATGATCTGTATAGTATATAAACACAGCGTCTCACCGAGCCTGCTCCACACGACCAGCAGTTGCCTGGCGGCGGCGGCTCCCATCCGCGTTCGGTTCCGGTTGTGACGTCACCTTCGTCAAGCCTGGCTACATCCGTCCCGCCCTCTATATATACACAGCGCCTTACCGAGCCTGCTCCACATGGCCAGCAGCTGCCTGGCGGCACGGCTCCCATCCGCGTTCGGTTCCGGTTGTGACGTCACCTTCGTCAAGCCTGGCTACATCCGTCCCGCCCTCTATATATACACAGCGCCTTACCGAGCCTGCTCCACATGGCCAGCAGCTGCCTGGCGGCACGGCTCCCATCCGCGTTCGGTTCCGGTTGTGACGTCACCTTCGTCAAGCCTGGCTACATCCGTCCCGCCCTCTATATATACACAGCGCCTTACCGAGCCTGCTCCACATGGCCAGCAGCTGCCTGGCGGCACGGCTCCCATCCGCGTTCGGTTCCGGTTGTGACGTAACCTCCGCCCCGCTGGGCTGGATCCACCCTGCCCTCTATATATACACAGCGCCTTACTGAGCCTGCTCCACACGGCCAGTAGTTGCTTGGCGGCGGCGGCTACCATCAGCGGTCGGTTCCGGTTGTGACGTCACCTCCGCCCGCCTGGCTGCATCCGTCGCGCCCTCTATATATACACAGCGCCTTACCGAGCCTGCTCCGCACGGCCAGCAGTTACCCGGCGGCGACAACTCTCACTCGCGTTCGGTTCCGATTGTGACGTAACCTCCGCCCCGCTGGGCTGGATCCACCCTGCCCTCTATATATACAAAGTGTCTCACCGAGCCTGCTCCATACGGCCAGTAGTTGCTTGGCGGCGGCGGCTACCATCAGCGGTCGGTTCCAGTTGTGACGTCACCTCCGCCCGCCTGGCTGCATCCGTCGCGCCCTCTATATATACACAGCGCCTTACCGAGCCTGCTCCGCACGGCCAGCAGTTACCCGGCAGCGACAACTCTCACTCGCGTTCGGTTCCGGTTGTGACGTAACCTCCGCCCCGCTGGGCTGGATCCACCCTGCCCTCTATATATGTATACACAGCGCCTTACTGAGCCTGCTCCACACGGCCAGTAGTTGCTTGGCGGCGGCGGCTACCATCAGCGGTCGGTTCCGGTTGTGACGTCACCTCCGCCCGCCTGGCTGCATACGTCGGGCCCTCTATATATACACAGCGCCTTACCGAGCCTGCTCCGCACGGCCAGCAGTTGCCCGGCGGCGACAACTCTCACTTGCGTTCGGTTCCGGTTGTGACGTAACCACCGCCCCGCTGGGCTGGATCCACCCTGCCCTCTATATATACAAAGTGTCTCACCGAGCCTGCTCCACACGGCTAGCAGTTGCCTGGCGGCGGCGGCTCTCATCCGCGGTCTATCAGGCCCGCGTCCAGCCCATCGTTCCGGTTGTAGCGCGCTGCACGTCACAAGAGCCACGCCTAACTCCATGTAGCCTGACCACACCTTCGAGACATTAAAATTTCAGTTATCTATTACCTTATTATCACAAAAAAATGGATGCGTGTAACTTATGTACGCGCGTGAGAAGTTATACTTCTTTAGCATCATTAAAAATATTTTTTAATTGCATGCAAATAATTAATAATTACAATAAAATAATAAAAGGACTGGAAAAGGATAGTTAACACAGTCAATTAAGTTCAGTTTTAATTTGAAAAATTAAATAAATATTAAAATATTCAATTAAAATCACTACTGAATTTAAGTTATTAGTCCATATGTAATTAGCACTTGTAAGTAACTAAAACACGTTGTGTCTATATAGAAACTAGAAACATGTAGATAAATATTATAAATATGAAAACAGTGATCAGAGGCGACGAGCGTGCCAACATTGTTTTTGACAACGCGATCATCTTATGGAGCTCCGTGGATCGTTCAAAGTACCTTTCGAACAGATGTCTAATAATAGACACTAACATTCATAACGCGCCCGCAGCCAACTTCATGGTGTTACTATTGTGTTACAGTGATGCGCGCGCATCCCGAAATTTCACTCACATGATTTTTTCATAACGCGCCCGCGGCCAACTTCATGCTGTTACTTTTGGGTTACAGTGATGCGCGCGCATCTAAAAATTTCACTCTCATCATTTTTTCATAACGCGCCTAAAGAAGTATAACTTCAAAAATGTTCCACGTTCGACGTGAGTTTAAGAAACAATTACTTAAAAAGGTGTCAATTCTGGCATGATTCTCTAAACTTAAAAGTAAATTTAACATCAGTCTCGCCTATTCATTCTGTATAGTGAATGACAAGGATACACTGTTGTCAAATTTAAGTTGAAATTTAAAGAATCATGCCAGAATTGATAGCATTATTGGCCTAAAGAAAGTTTGAAACCATGTCTACCTTTTTTGTATTAAGACCGTTATTCTTCCAGTTCCTTCCTTCGTAGTTTCAATAAATCAACATTTAGTAAAAGTTAAGAATGACCTGGATCCGTTTCTTAGTAACAATTTGTTATTATAAGCTAAATCATATAAAATTCAAAGAAACAAAGCCTAATTATACCTATCTCTTACTGGACTTTGATAATTGATAGTGGCCGTTAAACTTACTAAATTAAAGTAGCAATCACGTTGGTTAAACAAATGGCTGATTTTTAGGATAAAACTTTTATGACCAATAAAGTGTTACCAATGATTACATAAACGGACGCTTATTTAACTTCAAGGAATTACTGAGGATCGATACTCTATCGTAAGTATAAATAAAAATAAATATCAATCATTATCAGTAGACAGGGGTAACTAATGGTTGTTTACCTGTGAATCGAACTGAGGCGGTTCCTCTCCGAAAAATCTTTCTAAGAGTGGTTTCGCTAAATCTTGTAATGCAGACAGCAACACTTTACAACTCTGCACACGCAACACCATCCAATCAGCAGGGAAAACCTGAAATATAAGGTGGTTAGTCAAATAATTGTATGTCGTAGTTCAATATGCACCACAACTGTGACGATAAGAAAATTATAGTAAATGCCTATGCCCGCCTTGTTGATAAATATGGACAACATAGATTAGAACTACAATACCTAAAGGCATTGTTAAAATTTCATAATTAATGTTTCGGACATTGGTCGAGTTCAGTGGCTATATTTAGAACTTTTAACGCCAGTCAAAAAAAGCAGTACAAGTGGGATACCGCTTTATTGTGCGCATGTGATGTCGATCATATAGATGATCTACGCAGACGAGGGACTTGTGTCCGAGGAGGACAAATTTTCCTGAATCGTGAAAAAAATTCCACCGAGGAATTGTCACGGACTCAACGCATAAGCGCATTGCTATGGAAGTCAATATTCTAAGATTACGTTGTGATATAATTAACATGAAGTTTAAAAAAGAGATGACGTCTTAAAAGAGAATACTGGGTAAATCTCTTTAAATCGAATCGAGCGCGCAACGCGAACTAAAGTTTGCTGTGTGCGTTGATGGGCCTAGTCACATGACTTTTTTTTTCGGGACATCCGCGTACTTCTGTCCTATGCAGTCTCTCGGTGTCACTGACAATAAATCTCACGGACATAAGTCCCTCGTCTGAGCAGGCTATAAAGATCAAATGTTGAACTAGTTTACGAGTATAATACAGTTTCTGTTGCCACAACAGTGGTTAGTAATAAGAAACAGCTGCTAACTTCACATCGCTAAAGTCCAAATAAAGTATACTTACGTCTTGCTCAATCAAATGTCTAAATACTAAGAACGCGCGCATGAGGAAATCTTTTAAAGGTTTCCTGTCGTGCGGGTGAGGCGCTAGGTGACTCCACAAGCGTTGGTAGTGAGCCGGCTTCAGTAACTCCATGGCGCCTAAGAGGCCGGCTACCATAGAACCCTGGAGCAAGTAGAAATATTTCAGTGTAAATTTTATGGCTGTATTTATTTTAAGCATTTAACTGTTGGCCTTTGTAATGAGCATTAATGTCATTGAAAACTCGCGAGATTAAATATTGATTTACATCTAGCATAATTGCGACTATAATAATAGAAAACTGTATCCTTGTTGAAACCTTTAGTTGATACGCTAAAAAAATATTTTTTCGTCAATTGTAAAAATATAATTGTAATAGGTTTTTTAGCATAAAATATTTTAAAATACTTCAATCGATTCTAATCTGTACATCAAATCATTTAAGAGCAAAAAAAAATTACAATATTTTCACTTGATTTTGAGTAAATGAAGTCATTTTAATAATATGTGCAAGACTAGGAAAAAATCCACTGGCTTGAGGATTTAGACATGACCAATCATATTATGACAGATTTATTTGATGCCTTATTATTGAGAAGCATATATCTATGCGAAGTTCACTTTTTGGCGCAGTTCGTATACTATATCATTTCTTATTCGTTTGTTTTTATATATGAATGTAGGTAATAATCATAATTATGGATTCACTCACCAACACAGGCGAATTTCCACCAATGAGATGCAGTACGGTCTCAACCAATACATCGAGAGTGTTCCGACACAGAACATCCACGTCAGGGTCCAATTCGTCTTCATCGACTGGCTGGTCGGGGTCTTCCTTCTTCCATAGTAACGTTACTAACTCCCCGAGCATTTCCGCGCATTGCGAGAGCTCGTCGCGACGCGCTAGGTGCACTCGGAGATGGTGGCAAGCGGTGGTCAATACTATGTTACGCGCCTCTGTAATACCAGTTAACTATTTAAATAAACCGGCCAAGGCGTATCGGACTCGCAAACGAAAGATTTTGTACAATATCTTATACCGGCACTTCACATAGTAATTGGCATTTGCTATTAGTAAACTTGAAAACAGTATTTCTCCTTTTTATTCCCTATAGCGTATAACAAGGACAATCTGCGTGACATTAAATAATATCGAGCATAATAAATCCAAACAATTAACGAAAATGACGACTCAATATATTCTTTCCTCTTAGCCATAACTCTCAAAACTAACGTGTATTTCTTTCGTAAGAGATATAGTGCGATTTCATAGTTCATGTCGGCTCAGATTTAGTAATACCCGCGAGCGCTTCGTCCTACGCTTTGTTTACTGCACCGTGTTTATTTATTTACCGACATTTGTACTAAAAAAAATCAGTACATATTAACTTGTCACGATTAAGTTTGAATCGAGCACTTAGGCGTCGTCCTAACTGGCAACAATCGTGCGATGACACGATGCGTTTTTGTCGTGTGATGATTTTCAAACATACGGATTTCTTCAGAGGTGTCCTAATACAGCTCTTTAGTAATGCTTGTTGGCCAAATGTTGGCAAACAAGCATTACCTACACAAACCCAACTTCCTATCCAGAGGAGCCTTGGAACCTTACTCATTTTACTGTTATCTTCTGTGAGGTGGACGTTAATTCCCCAGACGGGCGCTCCATGCCGAGGGGAGAATCCACAATGCCCTACCTCTCTTGCTTTACATATAGAATCACTCACACACACTCTCTTGCTTTACATATAGACTCACTCACAAACAGCTAGAAAGTATTCTAGCTGTTTGTGCTTGGGCTACATAAGGTTGCTGTAAACAGTAGTCTTATAGTTTTACCAAGGTCCAGTCCCAGCAGTCCTTTAAGTTTCCTGCCACGAGTCTCGCTTTAGCAAGTTTGCAGAGGGGGCGTCTAACATTGAAGCAAGTAGTGGTACCTTACTAACCGACAGAAACACAACATTACCAAAAGGTAGTGTTATTCTACTGTGAAGTTACTTTAAGGTGGACGTTACTTCTTCAGACGGGCGCTCCAATCCGAGCGAAAAATCAGCTTTTTTTTTGAGTGTGTATGCTGTGGTCGCAGATGACCTTTACTGCGTCACCGGGTTTGGGGACGGAGAGATCCTTAGGGGACCTCAAGCCGAGAATTGGCGAGTGCCTCTAGGGGTATTCCAGACGGATGGGAACTCCCCACGAGGGGAGTCTCCTCTCCGTCTGGGGCCTCTAGACCACTCGAACCTGAGGGGTCGAAAAATCCGCTATGCATTACCTCTCTTTATAAGTAAGTAGTCTTACCAGGGTCCTGTCCCAGCGGTCCTTTGAGTATTTCCTGGACGGCCGCCAGTCTCGCTTTAGCAAGGGCGGGCGGCACGTTGGCAGCAGGGTCGTCTAACATTAAAGAATTGAGTCGTGGAGCCTTACTCACCAACAGAAACACAACATCACCAAAAGGTAGTGTTTTCTACTATGAATTTACTTTAAGGTGGACGTTACTTCCCCAGACGGTCGCTGCAATCCGAGCGAAAAATCCGCTATGCATTACCCCTCTTTATAAGTAAGTATTCTTACCAGGGTCCTGTCCCAGCGGTCCTTTGAGTATTTCCTGGGCGGCCGCCAGTCTCGCTTTAGCAAGGGCGGGCGGCGCGTTTGCAGCGGGGGCGTCTAACATTGAAGCGGTTACTCTCGCCGCTTCTACGGGCCCGAGGGCGGACGCCACCTCCTTGGCCACGCTAGCCCATGATGTCATCAGCGCCACCTAAACAAATTGTTGATGATAACGTGTATATTTGTTCGTTGAAGGAAATAAAGCGACTTCTCCAATACATAAATTACTTTTTTCTCTCACTAAACCTTGGTTGGTTGGAAGAGATCTCTCTTAGAGATAAGTCCTCCTTTGCTCACATATTTATGTTATGTACCTTACAATTTTTGTGTGCAATAAAGAGTTTAATAAATAAATGTATTTTCTCAACTTCTGATACATTATTTGAATATATTATATACGTCTAATATTAGAAGAGTTGAAGTTGAGGACTTCCTCCTGGCCAAGAGAGTGCTCCGATGTCCGTCTGTCCGCTTTTATGTTGATATACAGCGCCATCTCGTCCCTTTCGGTGAAAGCTGCGACTAAGGTGAGAGATTGCTGCCAGATGAAGTACGCATTTTGTTCGCGCGTCGTTACGTCCGGTCGCTAGAGGGAGCTATTTATGAACATAACGTATACTGCGAAGCGCGTACCTACTTGACGATGTTAGGCCACTATTAAAAAAACATTACGTTGTTAGGCCAATATTAATAGATCGCACCCAACTCTATTTTGTTCTAAAGATCACAGTCTCAGAGTTGAGAGCAATTTTGAGATGCTATTTTGTATGGAAACAAAACATCTCAACATCGTAGTCTCAGAGTTGAGAGCGATCATCAATACGGGGCTTAATCTTGCTAACTTACCTGAGCCGGTTGCAAGTGTTCCCTGTGAGGATGTTGCGCTAAAGCCTTCAACGCGTGTAACGCCGCTCTGACATCTCTTCTAAAGCTATCTTCATATTGGCCGCCAGTCGCTCGAGCGAATAGTCGTCGGGAACGAACGGCGAGTCGGAACACGGCGCCTAAAGAACGTAAGCATTTCCGTATGGGCTCCTGGCCTTCGGCGCCTGCCGCCCATTCTGCGCAATGTTGCACCGATGATAGGAGTCCCCTGCGATTGAAATAAGAAAGAAAAAAAATTAAGATAACACTGAATAGAAAATTAAAAAAAAACAGAAAATTTTATTAGCCAAATTCCACGCCGACCAGGAAGCAGACGGAATTCGAACCCACACCCTCCGCTATCCGGCACTGACCAATAATGATACTATTAGAAGAAATTCTACAAGGCCATTTTTGCCAAGGTCGCTTAATGACTTTATATTTAATAAGCTGCAAGACAGCGCCATCTCTTCGCTCTGTAGGTAACCCAAAATACATGACTAGAAGAAGATGAAACAAAAATCGGAAAACTCGCATTTAAGGCCTGAGTAAAGTTCCAGCTCAATGAAAAGGTATTTTGGCGAGTGAGTACTGTAAAAGCATCGAAACGCAATAACAGTCGATGACATGTAAACGTGGTATAACGGTCACAGTTACTATACGAACACAAAAGCTCCCCGTATTTAAGACACATTTTTATTAAAATAATGATATCTTTGTATCAAGGAAAATAGCTCCTAATGATAAATAGAAGACAACGAATGAATTTAAAATACTAGATAGCAAATCACTTACTTGTAAACCAAAGCGGCAGAGAAGTGTTCTTCTATGTAGACGTCGAGCACAGGTCTAAAGTGCTGGAAGCGAGTCTCATCCAGAAGGCTGCATATTGAAACCAGCACTAGAAATACTGTGCCAGAGTGCGGCGTGCTAGAAACAGAAAAAAAAATATATAATATAAGTAGTTAACATTGAACTGAAATTAAGACCAAGATCACTTTGTTTCTGTACAACAATAAATATTCAGGCAACTTTATCATACAATCATTTACAAACACATGGATGGAAAAGGCCATCTTTTCATATTGTTAGAACATTACAACGTACAAAGAAATAGTTTAAGTATTAAACACTCGCAAAAAAGTCGAAATATATGCTGGAACACAAAGTAGAAGTGAAACTTCAACGGACCGCACTCTTCGCCGCTGCCGCAACGCTTTTTCGTGACAGTAAACTCCCAATATACCCCGTCTATATAGAAGTTTCACTTCAAAAACTGCAGCTCACCTGTTACCATCTTCCGTAGAAAACAAGGCGAACAGAGCATCCAACACATCTCTGAGGAACTTGATTAGTTCTTCACAGCTCAGACCGTCGCCCAAACGCAATACTCGCAGGAGTGTCTCTTGCACTTTTTCTGGATGAGCGCGCCATTGTAGCAACGCCAATAAATCCTCTATAACAAACACGAGCAAAAAGATAATCTAAGGTTAAATTACTTCAAGTCCTGTCCCATAATAATTTTATGCCAAGAGAAAAAGTATTGCAGAGTATACAGAACATTCTACGTTATTGAAACTACAGATGCGTTGTGAAGATTTGGATGTAATGAAATATAGTTTCCTAGTCTTCTCTCTGTAAACTTAGAAGATATTCTTTGTACACCATAGATATGGCATTAAAGTATGTGTGTGAAATCATAATAATATCTGCATAAAACTAAAAAATGTCACTTCGATGCAACGATGTTAAATACCCTAGATACACCACCTGCTCTCAAAAGGTGTCCCTATAAAGAAGTGCTTGAACACAACTCAAGCACTTCTTGGTTCACAGTCACGCGCGGACCGTTGAAAAGTCATCATCAACATGCCGCTGAGCTCTGTGAAAAAATGGGAAATAAATACTTATAATATGTAAAACGACTTTTTTTCAACAGGTATTTAATCAATGCTTGTTAATTTAACGCATTTGAAACAAATTTTGTAGAAAATATTTGTAATATTCAAATGCAGGGTCGGTAATATAGCCGTCTCTTTTCCTCGCGGTCCGTACCTGCTATATTGCTAACAGCGCATTCAGAATTGCGTGTAGAGTCGAAGATATAAGGTATACATTATTCCGCATATAGCAATAAGTCGTAAAATTTTACGAGCTTACATTTCGGACTGTCATAACTCTTTGACACACGCGTTTTAATTAAGACCTTATACAGTGTGCTTTAAAGGTGATATTCAATGTTTAGATAATGCCTTATATTGCTTAGACTACGCGATCATCTTACGGAGCTCCCTGTATCGTCCACTGTACATTTTGGACAGTTTTCGGGCATGATTTTGTTCGTGTTGGTGTATCTAGGGTATTTAATATCGTTGCTTAGATGCCCTAATCACTTATGTAGAGCTTAATCTTCAATCCACGTAGAAAAAAAAACAGATAAAGTTTTTCGAAATACCACGGCCAAAAGGTCCTTGCAAACGTTTTTATCTATTCATATTGCTCTGTTAATCGAAAAAATTACTACGACCATTGTAAAAAGTCAAGAAAAGCGATAAAGTATTTGAAATTACTCACCGTTTTGCGTGAGTTTAGTGGAGCAAAGCAGAGTGTTGATAGTGCAGTTTTCTTTGGAGCTTCTTTGGAAGGAAGGTGCTACGCCATTCACAGGCGAGATTCGCGCCGTATCGCTCGCACAAGATGCTAGCGATAGGTAACTTGCTGAGGATAACCTAAAACAACAAAAATTTATATAATAGGATTCGATATAATTACTCACATATTTCTGTTTTGGCAAGATATTTTCACTACGGATGATAAGTGTTAAAAATTATAAGTAAACTTACTTAGATGGATCGTCACACTTGTAAACGTATAATTCGTGTGCACCATCTCGTAGCGTGGCTCCGCTAGCTTCCATCAGTCTTGCAAATGAGAACCCGAACAATTTCCTCTCGTTTTTGTCACGAGCTAGAAAAAATAATTGCGCTATTTATCTGACGAACTCAAATACAATGCTAGATAAGGATTTATGATGCGAGGTCAAAGCACGAATTTTTGACAGCTCCGTAACGTATCGCATCATCAACGTAATTATGCAAACTAAGCAGCGCTCCTATCGGACGAAGATCAAACTAGCTTTTTTCATACAAAATTTGACGATGACAATACGTTACACAGCTATCTAATTTGACGACCTCCGTGGCCGAGTGGTTTGTACGCCGGGTTTCATGGTGTTGCCGATTCGAGGTCCCGGGTTCGAATCCCGGTGGGGGTAGACGTTTGTGTGCTAAATACGTGCATTTGTACTCCAGTCATGGATGTTTAATATGTATTTCTATATAAATATACTTATATATGTACAATATATGTATTCTATCCGTTACCCTAGTATCCCATAACACAAACCTTATAGTGCTTACTTTGGGGCTAGGCTAATTGGTGTGTGTGTTGGAAATATTTATTTATTTCATTTTCGTGTTTCGGCCTATCATGTACCATTTATTTTACTTTAAGATGATGCTAAAGAAATTGTAGTGATATGTCCAAAAAGATTATACTGCAAAAGACTGCTGGCAACTGGAAATCAAAATTTCCATTGCGATTTTGAAGCGATTAATTTGCTAGAATAACGTTCAACTTCCATGGTGTAATAAATATTTCAGATTGTTTGACGTGACAAATGACAATTTATTTTGACGCCATGCAGTCATATCACAGTAATTACGTTCTAATACTTTGGCAGAGTTAGGCGCAGTTCGCACGATCCCGCACAACCCCCACACTCTCGCCATAGACTGCACCTCGGTAATCGCAGTGCATGTGGGAGTCGGTGCAGGAGTATTGTCTGGTTTTGACCGAGTATGGCCCTGCCGTTTCATTGAGCCTTTGGGGTTGGATGAAATGACAGGGAGGAGCCCACGAGCCTGTGCGCGTAACGGTTACATGATGTATTTTCCAGACACAAATAAAAAAAGGGTTAGGCGCAGTTGGTCGCCCCACAGGTAGGGTTACTATTTAAAAATTTGAAAAGTCCTGACAAAAAGCCGGACATTTCGATAAAAGTCATCACCCACTTAGTTACAGTGATATTATACTCGTGGTAGCAGACGCTCGCATCGCACTCGAGGGGTCTCGTTGTTGATTTTTAAAGATGATTTATATTTTGTTTTATTTTAAATTAATGAGAACTTAATAAAGATTATTTGACTTATTTGATATAACTTAATAAGTAGTTTCACTCATATTACATCTAATTAAAAAATCCGGACAAATTAAAAAGCCGGTCAACGTCCGGACAAAAGGCAAAAAGTCCGGACTAGTCCAGTCAAATCCGGACGGATGGTAACCCTACGCACAGGGGACTATTGTGTATATAGCACGAGTGAGTATGGCAGCATATCGTGTGTACAGAAAGATAGTGTGAGGACACAGGGTATATTATATATAGATATATACTAACTGGAGCAGTGTCGGAACTCGATGCGCACGTGCGCATGCGTGAAGGTGTCCAGTGGTACAGTCAGGCGCAGTTGTTCGCCCCACAGGGGACTGTTGTTGTGGTACAGGACGAGGGACTCGTAACATGTGCTGCCATTACCGCTGGCTCCCCATACGCACTCCTGTAAATGGTAATTTATTGTTTTTGGTGTGTAACATCTTTCCTCTCGCTTTCGTGCAATTTGTGGGAGTCATTACGTAAAGTGGGACGGAAGTGTGTAACAGGAAGTTTGGGAAGCGCGCGCTATTTGATTTGATTTTAGAACATAATGTTCAAATGGCTTATTACTTTTGTAATAGGTTTTATTTCTTTTTTACTAATAAAAGGTGAGGTTCCAAATGTTACACATCATCATACGGGCCTACTGTAAGGCTCACTCGTTTTTTTATCATATTTATATATTTTAAAATAAATTTTTTTGGAATTATATTTTATTAACCACTAGAGGGGTGCCCGCGATTTCGTTTGTATGGAAAAATTTGGTTTTCCTTACACACTTCCACAACCCTTCTTAACCCTTTAAAGGATGATTTCTAGGTTCCTTGGTTAACTGAAGAGCTGGCGAACTAAACGGTATAATTACGCATCAAACTACATTTTTTTACAGTCTGGAGGTTTCGGGCGCGTTGCATTTGAATTTCAAATAATTTTTATTCAAAACCATCTAAAACAGTGTTAATATTACTAAATTTATAAATTAAAAAAAAAACATGCCAAAAGCTCACTGGAGGTATGTCATTCAGTTTTATACAGCTCCTGTAAAATTTCATTTTATGTAATGATACCGTTTTGTTCGCCAGCTCCTCAACTATCATATCTGCTCTTTTCCGGGATTCAGACTATCTCTACACCAAATTTCATCTATATCGATTCAACGGTTTAAGCGTGAAGAAGTAACAGACACACTTTCGCATTTATGATACTAATTTTGAATATTTAGAGACAGTAGTAATTAATAACATAAATGCTGTTAATGTCTTCTTTTCATCGTCTATATTCTCTTGTAATCGATAAGTGTATTTATGGAAAAAAACGATTTACTATACAGTTTTTAATGTCGTTTCTGTGTATTCTATAATGAAATTTTCATAATAATCTGCAACATTCTTTTATACCCAAAAGTATATCGCACACACAGTGAACGCTAACGGTGCCCAGTACCCTTAGCACGAGCCACTATCGAATTCTTCACGTATTCGAATTCGATACGCGTCAAATGTGAAAAAGTTTTTAATGGAAGATTTTTGATTTACACTATATCCCTTGTTGCGCTGTTCTTTTCATACAAAATGTCTTGACATTTGACGCGTATTGAGATCGAATGAAACTATTTGATATTGGTTCCGAACCAATGGTTCGTGGTAAATGTACCGCACGTTCTTGCCATCCCTTTCGAACTCCGCTCGTTCCATCGTTAAGTAGAGATAGTTATATTAGAAAGGAAGAAAGACGAGCAAGGAATACTAACGGTTCCATATTGTGAAACAAGTGAATAGAGGATTGTCGCGTGCGAATCTTTGACCGAACTTTGAAGGGAACAGCACTATCGACTGAACCAGTATCATCCACATGGACACGGTAACATTACCATGACAAGGAGCTTTCAACAAGGTACCCTTTCTTCATCCATTCCTTCTTTTAGTGCGTTTTTGTGGCTAATAATCATTCATCCGCGCTAGTCAAACTTTTCGTATTGCTGCGAAACCAAAAGCTTTATGAATTGCTATAAATAATGATGAAATCATCGATTTATCTAAATATTTTGTGTTGTTTATTTATACTCCAAAGGCGATTGTATAAAAACTTGCAATATATTCAAAATTCAACTGAATTTTATAAGTTCAGGGTTAAGTGTCTCATAGACAGACGCCACCTGTAGCCGCGGCGGGAGTGGCGGCCAGTTGTATTGGCTTGCTTTGTAAGCGATTGTCAATCACGATCGACCAATCAGAAGCTCTATTTTTGAATCACTCGCCTTTCGTCAAACTCTCGATTTCTACTAATTTTCATTCGACATAATTAATTCCATATTTTTGAATCGCTCGACGTCAATTAGCGGTCTCGACCACTCGTTGAGCATTGGCAAATGATGGAGGCGAATGGTAGAATAATTGTCAAATTTATGTTACATATTTTCAAGACTTTTTCTCACTTTAAAATACAGATAAGATGACGATTTGATGTGACGTTTTGATCTTTTTTTACAAAAAAGGCAAAATATTAAATAACCAGTTATCTCAATAACTTATTATTTATTTTTTACAGCGGTAATGGCTGATTTTTATCTTTTTCCGTGAAATTAATAAAAATAAATATTTTTTATTAAACTGCCAACGAACGATTCAAAAATACGGAAAATCATTATCATCCGACTTGGAAGTCGCATTCGACGATATGTCATGCGAGCGAATAGTAAAAAAATAGAGCTCCAGGACTGTGAGAACCTTTCAGAGACGCTTAAAAAGAGTATCGCAATATGGTGATAATTATTTTTAACGGAACTTACGTTTATAAGTTGTCCGGTGTTATCGTGTACGCTGACGGTGGCCAGCACGTTCTTGGCGGTGCTCTTGCCACCCCTCTCGAACTCCGCGCGCTCCAGCGTCAAGTACAGATCGTTCCTGACGTCGCCGGGCATGATGACGTCGGGGAAGCCCCGTTTGGCGGTTATGGTGGCGCCGGAAGAGACCGCCTCGGTTATGCTACCCGGATGAGTTAACAGCCGTAACGCTACGACAATTCCTGTAAAATTGAATTATTGTTGAATACTATACATATATATATAATACTATACATATGCTGAACTCGATGACGAAAGTGGTTAACACGTTAGGCTGCGATCGTTCAAGTTAAGCAACTTTCGCAGTGGTCGGTCAATGGCCGGGTGACCAAAAATTTACTATCTCGAGCTCCTCCGTGCTTCGGAAGTCGTTAGTACCCACCAATCCGCACTGGGCCCGTGTGATGGATCATGGTCCAATCTCCCTATTCCATTCATAGGTCCTTACCTATGAATGGAATAGGGAGATTGGCCTTCCTGTGCCCCAACAGTGGCGACATTAATAGGCTGATGATGATGACGATGCAATTGTTAAATAGTAGCTATAATAGTACCATGGGCTTACACCCCGTATTCTATTATAAACAACGTTATTAGTAAACAACTTGGTTTATACAAATATTTTAAGCTATTTATATATCTTAATATATATAAAGTTGTTCATAAATCAAACTATACAAAGTCTATTCTTCTAACGTGCTTGCTTAAGCAAGTAAAAAGGACAATGGAGGCCTGTTGATAGGATTGCGTTGCCGCCTTTAGAGTACAAAATTCATGAGCAATTGATTTGTAAAAGGAAAGAAGTCATCTTCTGTAATATAATCGTAATAAATGTGTCACTTGTAAAAACTACTAACTATTGTACAAATAACATAGTAGGTAGCGATTACTATATTTATTTAATTATTTGAAAACGTTAATTTTATCTGATTACCGTAATTAGGTTGGCCCGGTAAGATGTTGCATTTGTTTGTTTGTTTCCTTATCAACATGTCGTGTAGCTGGTGGAAATCCTTCTCCTCGCACTGATAAACCTGAAACAAGATAACACATTCACTGCCATTCTATATATTCCGATTAGAGCCTCAAAGGTGGAGATGCACTCAATGAATACTTCCGTATTCATTTTAAACGCCTTATTCACAAGGGGAGTTGTGATAATTGCATAATTATATAGAGGAGTACAAAAAGACAATAGTTTTACTTAATAACTCTAATTCATTGTATTTATAATTATGATATTGTTATTGGTGTGACAAATAAAGTAAGTGTGGCACTACATATTATGTCGTCTCATATCATCGCGTTTTGTTGCAATTGTTTCAGCTGATTTTATTTTATAAGACCATAGAATCGGTGAAGTATAGTGAATAGTGTAGCATTTTCTCTATTTTTATATATTTCTTGACTAACCATAGTTCGCGATACATATCTTTACTACATACCTTGTACCCGAAAGATCTCGTTTCCTTTTTATGAAATTGTCGATTCATGCGAGTGTTGCTTAGGTTCCTTTCTCGCTGACCTATTGACGGCTATCATAGGGACTCTGATAATGGCATTTCTTCTGTTCCCAAAGGTCTCCTTGCTACGGGTCTAGCCTCTCACCCGCCCATCGACCCAACCTTATCCACTACGCGACCAACCATAGTTCGCAGGACATATACCTACCTATGTCATCAAGAAAGACTTTTCCTTTTTCTATCGTTATCAGTTCATTCCACTCCGTATGCCTATCATCTTACCTTAAAAATTTACTCTTTTCCGCTAGGCTGTTGACCAGGCTGTCTTAGGGGCAGAACTCTCGCCCCTAAGTCGTCTTGCTACGGGTTCCCGCCTTTCGCCGAGAGATCCTCTTTCTATAGTTGTCGCTCATTTCACTCTTTATTTCTATGATCTTACCTTGAATGTATACTCCTTTTCGCTGGACTGTTGACTCGGCTGTCTTAGGAACTCTGATAGGGGTAGAACTCCGGCCCCCAAAGGTCTTCTCGCCACGGGTCCCCGTCTCTCTCCCGTGCCGCTGCCTCCACCCGCGCCCGCCCATCGACCCACCCGTATCACCCACGCGACCAACCATAGTTCGCGGGACAGATCTGTCGTTGAGAGATCCTGGAGAGTATCGAGTAAAAAAAAACAAAAATAAAAGTCAATTATATAGGATATCCTGGAGAAAGCCTAGTAACAAAAAAACAAACTAATCAATAATAGGGAAACGTCAAAACTTGATCATCATCATCGTTACCAGGCTATTTAAGTCCCTACTGCTAGGGCACACGGCTATCCTATTGAGCAAGAACGGCTCATGACCAACGCGAGCCCAGTGTGAATTGATGGGTGCTGTTAACTTCAGACACAGCTTACGGCTTAACCTTCGAAGCGCGGAGGAGTTAAAAAATTTTTAGCCTTTACAAAAATTCACGATCGACGATCGATGACTAATAACTTTTACTATACCGGGCGCAGAAAATTACCCCAGCCAACCTGATGTTCATGTTTAAGTGTAGTCCAGTTGCGAAGATATGATGTCTCAGACTAATGTTCCACTTCACTTTATATCAATTTGTCAATCTCTAACCAATATTACAACCCCGAATAGCAGTCCTTCTTTGCGTATTTCCTCTTATTCAATGAACCAAAATATAGTGATTTACTGATAACTAACTACTAACTTCTATAAGTGGAGGTTGTTTCCCCAGTCGGGGTAGCTCTATTTAGAACAGAATATCCGCTATGCTTTTCTTAAGATACCCTACTAAATAATTAATACCCTTTTTTAGTTTACAGTGTTATCTGTAAGACACGATTTAATTTTGTCTACGATTCGGAGAATTCTATGAAACCCGGTATAACAAACGACTTCAAATTGCATTATAGTAATGCATACACAACAACTTTTGTGACCAATACAATTACTGGCCATGAAACATTTAGGTCGACTATGTGCCCTTGATATCTGGCAATATAACAGAAGAGAGATTTTATGATTAAAATATTATATCATTCTAATCCCTTCTAATATAATAAGTACGAAAGTAACTCTGTATGTCTGTCTGTTATTCACGCCTAAACTGCTATACCGATTTTGATGAAATTTTGTATAAAAGTATCTTGAATTATTATTAATTTCGAGATGGTGAGTTGACTCATATCACACAACGATATTCAATACCTAGATACAACACACGAACAAAATCGTGGCCGAAACGTGCCCAATAGGTACATTGTACGATCCACGGAGCTCCGTAAGATGATCGCGTGGTCAAAAACCATATAAGGCATTATTTAAAATTGAAAGTCACCTTTAATTCATACTGTATAAGGTCTTAATCAAAACGCATACGTCAAAGACTTCTGACAGTTCAAAATGCAAGCTCGTAATATTTTACGACTTATTGCTATATGCGGAAGAACTTAGACCTTATTTCTTTGATTCTATGCGCAATTCTGAATGCACTGTTAGCAATATAGCAGGTACGGACCGCGAGAAAAAACGACTGCTATACGGCGACGATTAACCGACCATGCATTTAAATATCACAAATATTTTATATCAAATCAGTTTATAGTAAGTATCAGAACAAAATTTCCTTCTTCAAATGCGTTAAATTAACAAACATTGATTAGATACCTGTCGAAAAAACGACACTTCGTAAAATAAGTTTTTTTTTCGCATTTTTTCACGGAGCGTTGTGGCATCTTGACTTTGTAACGGTCCGCGCGTGACTGTGAACCAAGAAGTGCTTCTTGATTGGGACACATTTTGAGCGCTCGTGGTGTATCTGGGGTATTTATTATCGTTGATATCACAAATTAAAATTCGTGAACTCGTGGGTTGGCCAGATTCGACAAGGCGAGTTGACTATGGGCTTGTTTGATGAATCAGTAATATAAAAGCATCAAAAAAAGGTAACAAAAAAAATAATAATTTACATAACAAGATATCCCGGTCGTCGACCCGCAACCGCAAACACCTTAGTTTTCACATAGCATAAGGCATGTATCACCGGCCGCACCGCTTTTAACCAATTACGGCATGTCGTCTAGTTACTACTGGTTGATATAAAAACGCACATGTCACCGTAATAGGTGAGTTATACAAACCAGATTTGCAACAGTTTGTTGTCAAATAAACTAGCATGATATAATGCGAACACATGGTCGAAAAATCATGATTTTTCTTACAAGACTCCAGAGCGTAGTCTCCTATCTACGTCTTTCCCTAAATTAAATTAAAAACTTGAATGGATTATTATTTAGATGTGGGTACAAAATATCAAAATCAATCTAAATATTTTATGATCTCTAATTTGATCAAGGAGCAAGTGAAGTCAATACTAAAATCAGGCAATATATTATTCAAACACAAGAACACCTATTTTAAGTCATCCACTTCAGACTGCTTTAGTAAATAACTTAAAAATAACAACAAAACAAAACAAAAAAAATAGTTCCAGAGATACTCACAGCGAATAAGGTGCTGTTGGCGTGTAACCTATCCACGTAGTTCGAGAAGCCGTCCCTGGCTATTCGAATCCTGAAGCGTTCGGACAGCGGCTGCGCTCTCCTAGCATCGTGGAGCCAAAGTAACAGCTCCGCTTCGTCTCCGCCGGCTGTGTGGCCGAAGTCCCGCATGCTACACATGAGGTGGTAGGACTGGGTGATAGTGGTCGTAGTGATAGCGGTCCCGCCATTCGTGAGGGTACCCGAGTTAAAGCTGCTGCCTGAACCACCGGCCCGGCGAAGCGTACCACGCCACTGGAATAAATGTAACACGGTCAAAAATGGCAATGTGGACTAAGAGTTTGCCGACCATCTTGTCGAAGGTGAATCGCAATTATTTGAATTTATGCTTATCTTAAAAATAATGATTACGTTAACTTAGTTTTCTAGGTTGCCTAATATTCCTCCTATTGATTTGTTCAATTGACCATCGGCCTTAGGATCATTAAATAATTAATTTAAAAAAAAAATATCATGTAACTGCTTGATGTTTAAATCTATAGAAAATATAACTAGAAAAAATTCCACACGGGACTCGAACCCGCACCCTTCGCTATCCGGGCGAATACACTGACCAATTATGCTACCGATGGCCGCGTCGAGATTCCTCTAGCCATTCTTAAGCTGCAAGCGCCTGCTGCGCCATCTCTTCGCATTGTAGGTAAACCCACAATGTCAAATTATTTGTTTTAAAGAACCAGATTGTACTGCAACCATAACTGTTTTTTGCGCTCCCAGTCCAACATAGTTTGATTGAATACCTACTTGCACATCATCTTTGTTAATTGTTTAAAGAAAAAAAAGAAATAATGGGGCTTAAACCTTTTAAACTTGAATTAAGAACTTTCGTGCAAGTGGGCCTTAGTGATAAGAGAGATAAGAGTTTGTTTTAAATATCGGTACGTAACTTCATTTTAATAAAAAAAAAGGTAAAAACAAGTTATTTATAAGACTGTGTAGAATTTTATTGTTGAAATAAAAATCTCAGTGAATCTAGAACTAGAATACGTTTAAATTTATAAACTTAATGCAAATATTGAATAAGGTAATTTTTTCGTTTTACTCTTATCCATATATGGAAGTCCAGCATTATATGATGCGAAAAATATAAGTCTGACATTATCTGTTACTTACAGAAAAGTAGGCCGAGTAAATAACGGCGCTTGTAACTTGTTTAATTCAAGCATTTATTAGTCAGACAGTTAAGACCTGTACAGACAGACCATCAAGGTTTAATGTGGCAAAATAAAATATAAAATGCAAACATGTTTTAATAAAATAACCATTTTTCTAGAAATGAAATACAGAAACATATTATACCTTTATATTTTCAAATAAATGTACAACTACTGCCGTGATGTTAGGTACAGAGAATTATTTGTTTAATGGTTGGTCTATTATTCGGTTGGGTGCATAGATCAATGAACCTTCATTAAAGCCTATTGGTGACAGAGAATCCATTCTCGATTTCGCCAGTGTTATACAAGACATTATTCATCCCGGCTGAATATGCAATCGTTAATTGCGTATTTGCAAAACATCGCACTACGTATAATAGTTAACTTTAATATTAGCTTGAATACTTATTAAATACCCGGCAACTGTGGTTTACGTTTAAATAACAGAAATGACGGATTCTTCGTCCCTTTATTTTATATTCTGAAAGTCCTCCATGAGAACGATATTACCTTTTCAGCTTTTTCATCTTAAATGAACCATATGTGTAAAGGTATAAACGTTATTCTTAGATAGGATAAAGTGGCGAATGCCAAGTAAAATTTATCTGTGAAAGAACAAAGGACGATCGACGATGGTCGATTCTGCTACATTAAAGTAATAATCGGTGTATCAAGCGTTTCAGTAGTTTTGATATTTTTGACACAGTTATTATTATTCAAACTCATACAAATACATCTGCTTACTCGTTTGTTATTGTTATCTATTATGCATTTTTTATTTTATGTTTTAGTAACAAGAACTGTGTCATAAATCGATACCGCTGAACCACTATTGATTAGCTTAGCAGAATCGACACCCAGTTTCGGAAAGCAATAGCGTCTTTTGGAAAACTAATCCAATGGAATTAGTCATGATCAATTTACCACCGCATTTCGCTCGGCACTAGTGTTGCCCAAATGCAAGAACAAGACGAGACTTAGCAAGTCTTGGTCTTGGTCTTGCGCCAATACACTTGGTCTTGGTCTTAGTCTTGCGCTCCCAGTCTTGGTCTTGGTCTTGGTCTTGCAGCAAGAGTCTTGCAAGTCTTGCAATTACCTATTAGACTATTGCTATTTATTAAAGTTAACTTTAGATTTTAGAAAAACGTATTCTATGTGGAACATTGTGAGCTTGAATTAACATAGCCATAGTAAAGACCAATCATAATCCCATATAATCAATATTATAATATATACTTACTAGAATAAATTATTATGACATCTACTACCTATCCTTACCATTATTTAATCATAATACGACCCACCAATCCGCACTGGGCCCGCGTGGTGGGTCATGGCCCAATCTCCCTATTCCATCCTTAGGGAAGGCCTGTGCCCCAGCAGTGGGGGCATAATATAAAGCGTGATCAAGTATAATGTATTCGTTTCCATTCTAAGCACTCTGAAACTTATTTATTCTTTGTAACACCTGTACTCTAAAATTCGACAATCGAAGTTCGTGTCGTACCGTCTCGCTTGCTCATATATTAAATAGTATTAGCGTGAGTGGGACGGCACGACACGAAATTAGAATTTTGCATATGAGTATACCTAGGCCCTGTGGCGGCAATCAAATAGTGTCAAATGTTGTGATTTCAGCGCGGCGGCAACGATTGTTGTATGTGATTTCAATAGAAGCCGCGTGTATCATCACCATGTACTTCCGAAAAGCGGCAAAGGACATCGACGAAATCGGCCCTAGCATGCCCAAAAGAATGTCCTTCACTATTATTTTTCTATTATTTTTTTAACTTATTAGCAATTAATCATTGTAAACGGACAATCTGTTTAAGAAAATAAAAAATTAAAGTTCTGTTACTAGATACTACAGTCTGTTCATCCAACTTGGCACTCCTTTTTATTGAAAATACAGCATTAAAAATCAACTGATAACTAGATTCAATAGGTTTCAGTCTATAATAACGATTTATTTTAATAGTTTATTGGCTTCGTTAATATTTTATTATTAAACGGGTG